ATTCCTGCTTGATTTTTTCCTGTACATTTTAGCTTCAGTCTGACTAACAAAGAAATATTTAATGCAATATGTTTGGCTGTTGATTTACTGGAGTTGAAATGTAGAAGGAAAATACAGAATTGAAATGTGTTTTAGGATTTTTGAAAAAATGCTTGTGAAAATATTTTTGTTGTCTTTGCTTTCTGTCTGAAGACATTGCAGAGAATTCCAACTGAAAACATAGCCTCTCCAACGTGTTGGAGTTTTATTTTCCAAAGAAGAAACAATTCCAAAGTGCTTGTTATTTACACTTTTAATTTTTCTTCCTATTCAAATACAACTTGATGCAATAATCAACTTGAAAGAAGAAATCAACCACTTGATAAATGTTCCAATAGACAAGTATAGCTTATGAATTTTTTATTTATACAAATGTGAGTGCATATATACATTTTATCTTAGATCTATATAGACGTAGTCTAGTGCTTGTTTTACTAAATAGTTTTAAATTTAGCATAATGACTGTGTTTGATTGGAAATCAATATTTTCAATGTTGTAATTATCAATAAGACAGAATCTTTTTCCAGTTATGAAAAAAAATCTTTGCATTACATTAAAATTGATTAACTGAAATCAAAGAATCATTATTAATACTTGTGGTTCAAATAATTATGCTTTCAAAACAGTCCTTGCTGCTTTCAGAGGGCTTTCCTGGTCCATCCTGGGCAGATGGGAGCGATTTGGTATCCCTGTTGCAATAGCAGAGCTTTGCCTCAGATGGCAAGGGCAGAAAGTTGGGCAGTGCCTGCTTGCAACCTTACTGAGAGGAGCTCCTGAGCACTGTAGGTGTTTATTTTTATAGTGTTTCAGGGACTAAGCCAGCTGGAAAGCGTGATACAAATGGGAGGTTTCATTTTTGTAGTTCTTTAGAAGCTGATAAAAAAAAAAAAAGGCAGTGAGTGAGAAGCATGTACGGCTGGGAGATGAGTAGAGAAAACTGGTGTAGATTTCCTTCTCCAGAGAATGAAAGATATAAAAGCCTGACGGTAAGTCTTCACCAGGACAGCCAAGTGTCTTAAGGCACGGCCAGTCAGCCTTGCGGTGCCCAAACCTTTGCCCCGGCAGCACGCAGTGCCCTCACGCCTGGCTTTGTGCATTTGTAACATCGCAGGGGCACGTCTGCCAGGCATACGGTACAGGGCAGGGTGCTGACAGCCGCGGGGCTGGGGTGCCTGCGTGGAAGCAGACCACCAAATCGGGAGTGAAATCTGTGGTAGGCAGGTTAAGGTTATTCACTAGAGAGGGACATTATTTTGTGGCTGCGCTGTGACAGCAGGGGAAGAGGGCAGAGGAGTGTGGTTTTTCTGCAGCGGAGTTAAGACACAGGTGATGTTATTGAGCTGAGAGGTTGAGGAATGTGAACAAAATGGGTAAATGGTGATTTTATAGCTAGGCTAATCTGCTCATTTTGTGGGAGTTCCTCCTTAATGATGACTGATAGCATTATCATGCCACCACCAGCTCCCAGCGTACTGTAAATTTTCTGGACGTGGGGCAGGGGTAGGGGAATGAAAGGCTTGTGGGGTTTTCTCACTCTTTCTGTTCTCATGGAGGGGGTGAGGCTGGGCCCCTCAGGGCTTTACATGTGATAGAGGCTGTATTGTAAGGTGACATTGGGTACTCATCTCCTTGCTGCTATAGGTCTGGGATACCCCTATATGCATCCCCATCCCTGGACTTCTACCCCAGAACTTACACAAATATCAGCAACAAATTTTGTGACACTTTCATATTTTTTTTCTCTTTTTTCCCAAGCATCCTCTTTGCAGACATAGAGGGTTTCACAAGTCTGGCCTCCCAGTGCACTGCTCAGGAGCTGGTCATGACGCTGAACGAGCTCTTTGCCAGATTTGATAAGCTGGCAGCTGTAAGTTTTCTATTATAATTCTGATTTTTTTTTTTCCTGTTGCAAGAATGACATACTGTGCTGGTTCACTGGATTTCTGTAAATATTCACTGCCCTAAAAGGCAAGCTATTGCAAGCATGAATATAAGCTGAATACTTCTCTCTCCTTTATTATTATTATTGCCATTTTTTTAGGAGAACCACTGTTTACGTATCAAGATCCTGGGTGATTGCTATTACTGTGTGTCTGGGTTGCCAGAAGCAAGAGCTGACCATGCACACTGCTGCGTTGAAATGGGAATGGATATGATAGAGGCCATCTCGTAAGTACCACATTCCTCATGGAGAATTTCAGAACAAATAGCAAGTAGATTCGCTCTCCTGTTAGGTCTTCCTTACATTAGTAGCAAGGTAGACAAACCAGGGAATTAATGCCAGCAAAAAGGAAGACCAACTGGAATGAGAAAACAAAATGCGGTAAAGGTTTGACAGCAGAAAGATAGACACTTGAGTCTGTTACAGCCACGTGGATATCAGAGCTCAATCTCCTGATGAGAAAGGCAAAGGTTACTGTAATTACTGGAAGTCTGATTCCCAAAGGAGGATTCCAGTGAATTACAGAAATGTGAAATCAGGGGATTAATAATAATTTTATTAAATTTCAGTCACTCTTCATTTGTCTGTCTTTAAACCAGCTTTTTACTCACCTTACAATTCCTCTGCTAAGGGCTGTCTTGTCTAGTTTAACATCCTTCTCCCTGTGTCCCTATGCCAAAAAGGTCAGATTCAAGACTTTCTTACTTTAGTTAAATTAATTATTGAAGAAAGCCATAAAGTCTGTCTGGCACAGACAGGGACAGATCCATGGTGCTTTTTCCTTTATTTCCACTTACTTCCCCATCTTTATTTTTGTATTTTTAAAATCTGTTCTGAGGCTTTGCCTGCTCCTGAGGTCAGACTAGCAATCCTGTGTTTGTCTAGGCCGTTCCTGTCTTTAGAGGATAACAAATCTGAGACACGTATCTAGTTATATTACTTGGAGGACTGCAGACAATGTTGAATGTTGTTTGCATCAGACATGAGTTTTCACAGACCAGTTCTTTCAGAATTCTGGGAGGGAAAGATTTATTTGGTCATCTTGAGTATATGCAAGTTTAGGCACAAAGTTCAGTCAGTTTTGTATGGTAACTGAGCTGACCTTAATATCTACACCATCCCTGCTGCACAGAGACTCTGCTTCTTTTTCTCTTCTCTTCTCTTCTCTTCTCTTCTCTTCTCTTCTCTTCTCTTCTCTTCTCTTCTCTTCTCTTCTCTTCTCATTTTGTATTTTGTGAAAGCATATTCTAAAGTATCAGTGGTACCAACAGAGAAGTAGAAGATCTCTATGCAATTCTGCTCTCATTCCGTTCAATAAACTGATTAAGTTTCCATTTCATCTTGATGAAAACTAGTGCTATCTATTTGCTGAGCTTGATACAGTACATCCTTACCATTTGACTTTCTGCAAGGACGTGAATACACACCCACACTTTTCAATTTCGTTTCCGTAACACAGATACATAGTTAGAAAAGCAGTGTTTTCACCCAGGAGACCCCATTCAAAGAGCAGTTCGCAGCACCATTCCCTTGCTTTGTATCCAGCGTACACTGTCAGGCCTTCCTACCTTGATTTCCTGGTTTTAAACTCTGTTGCTTTGCACGAGTCTCCTTTTGAGGTTTGTATGCAAAACACAAAATAAAAGGAGTTGCAAGTACCTAGTTTTGAGTAGCCCTTGAAAGGATGCTCTTTCTTCCACATGGAAGTACAATTAAGTGGCAGGTGACAAAGTGTCTTGTCAAACAGGAAAAGCAGCAATTCTTAGCCACCAGTGCTACAAAGAAGATACTGTGTACATTGTCCAGAAAAAAGGATGAGTAACACCAGGATGTCTAGACTTCATTGATTAACTGCAACCCACCTTACCTTGAAGTAAGCATGGAGCTGAAGTGCACTCAATGTTTGTTTACAAACAGCTGTTCAGCAGCCTTTAAAAGTTGTTTCCCACTTGGTGTATAATGAATGCATTTAACAATCTTATCTCTTAAGTCTGGAAGGTGACTCTGTTCTCACTACCCATGCTTCCCCCCTCCCCCCTGCCATCTCCTCCTCCTCTAAGGATGAAGATAAGAAGTTTCACAATTAAGGTAACCAATAACTACTGAACATTTGATTGCAGACTTCACCAGCACTGGGCCCTACCCATAGGCTGATTTCATCTATACACAGTAACAGCAGGGAGTGTTACCCCAGATCAGAAAGATAGAATTATATTCACTATACTGCTGGTATAAATGAACTGAAAAAAAGGAAGGTAACAAAGGATATTTCATTTGTCTATAAAGCATAACCAAACTCCTTTGTTTGCTGCAAAGTCTGGAGACAGTCACCTTCTCATCAATGACTCTACTGGGAGAAGTTCCCTGGTCTTGTGTCAGTAACGTTGCTTGGCAGAGGGTGCAGCAGGGTTTGTAGCACTCATGCAGCATGTTCTTCCTCCCTCTCCAGTGCTGTACCCAAACTGCAGCTGCTGTTGTGCTTGCAAAGGTTATGGCTGAAGATGTATTTTTGTTACCCCAGTTCCTGTTGCTTTCCCAAGTGTTGTGGTTGGAGCTCTTTCAGTTTGTAAGCCTGTGGTACCTTACCCATATGCAGCTTCCCTTCCCTGCTAGAGAATCTCTGCTGCTTGTTAATAAAAATAATGAATGTCACTTCAGCAAGTAGATAGTGAAATGTAAGACAGAGATCATAAGGAAAAAGGAACTGTAAGAGGATAGGAGCTGTTTTAACAAGAAGTCATCTTGAACAGTCTTTTAAGGGGCATTTTATACTGTGAGGAGTGAACTAGAGTCCAGAATTGGTCTATCTTTAGTCAGTCATTTTCATTGATAACTAAAGCATAAATATTAGATCTGTGTTGATGTTAGGAAGTTGGGAGGACTTACCTGCCCAGAGGATGTTATCTAGAAAGGACTGTATGAACCTGAAAACCAAAGAGGTTGAAATCTAATACGTATACAAGTACAACTTCATGCTGCAAGGAACTAACAGCTCAAAGGAAAGAACTGTGCTATGTGATGTAGCTGAATTTGCCTGTGAAACATGGACATTCTGGAAATGATGTGATCAGCAATAACAAGAAGCAGAGTTGTTCTGATGGCCTCATCAAGGCTTTCCCCTACCCACATTCCTAAATATATTTTCCATGCAAACATCTCTTGAAGTTAACTTTTGCCCTGAAAGGGCAAAACCCACAAAGTATTCCAGCAGTCATTTTGGGAGTAAGCAGTGCATCCAAAACCTTATTAAAATCAGAGCTTGAGTATTTGTAGCTGCCTGTTTGGAGTGACAGCAATAGATGTGGTTCTCTGATTTTGCTGCTCTGACTGCAGCTGTAAGCCCCATTCAAGCTTTCCAACTGCAGTGGGGTGTTTCACACACATATCATATTTCATCTGCGGAAGAGTTGATGCTTGGTGCCATACAGACAAATTAAGATCTCTGAAATCATTTCCTTTTTCTCTTTGCAACATGCTATTACTCTTAATGAGGCTGAGTGCTGGCAGGTTATGTCCAGGTTTGGTATGGAAATCAGAGACCAGCACTTTATTCCTTTTATTGCCCTAAAGATTATTTTTTTTTTTTTAAATGAGTTCTCAACTTGACCATGAGTTCAGAGTACATTAATTTACTCCAAGGGCTCCTCTTTCTAATTAGTACTCTGCTTGGCCAGCCAGGCCATCCAAGAGCAGTACAGCTGATTTGGTTTTGTTTTATTGTCCTGTTGATGTGGATGAGCCGCACCGTGTGTATGTGTGAATAATTTATGGATCATTATGGATATTTGTGTTCTGGATGCAAGTTTGTGGCAATGACTACAACCATGCAGTTCCTAGTGATGTCCTTTTTTCCCATATCTCTTTTCAGACTAGTCCGGGAGGTGACAGGAGTAAATGTCAACATGAGGGTTGGAATCCACAGCGGGAGAGTTCACTGCGGGGTCTTGGGCCTTAGGAAGTGGCAGTTTGATGTGTGGTCCAATGACGTTACGTTAGCCAACCACATGGAAGCAGGGGGCAAAGCTGGGTAAGTTGTTTCATCAAAGTTATTGTGTTAATCCATGTGTTGTTTTGTGTCTGCCATGTCACAGTGAGGTGGGGAAATGGGGGACAGAGATTCAGAGAGTCTGTATGTCTGCTGTAAAATGAACTGTGGGTGTAGTGTTTTAAGCATGTACAAATGTTAGCGAGGTTATTCTCTTCCATATCTACATGTCTTTGGTTACAGAAAGTCTACAAAATCCCAAGACGGGCGTATCATTCTGTGGTAAGAACTGAATTTCTTCTCTGTGAAACAAAGCTGATAGATACCACAGAAATGAGCAGGACTGTGTGAACACTAGCAGAGCTGGTCATGGTTACAAAGAGATGTGACTGTATGTTAACAGTGTTTGCTGGAGAGCACCCCAGCTATCGGTGGATATTGTGTGAAGCATTGTTTTGGACCAGGCTTTTGTTTTGAAACATTCCTGTGAGAGAGCAGAATCGGTTCTTGTTTTACCACTGTATGGACCAACTGAAGACTGAGTTGCTGCCAAGTTGACTCTGTGAGATAATTTTTCTTCGTGCCTTTCCATCTTTTCTCTGCTCTGGAAGAAAGCATAAGACTATGTCATTTGATAGGATACTTCTACAAGGCACTCTTGTACCACAGGGATTAATGTGATACATCAAAAAAGATACATGCTGCAGTATATATTACATGTGTCCTCTGAGTAGACATGTCCTTGTGAAGGGGCTGTGTTTGCCAAAAAAATATATCTGCTGTGTGTTAGAGCAAAGTGAATAAAAGAATGAGTGCTTTATATCTAAGGAAGTGCTTATAAACATGAACACCTCTCTCTTTAAGTAGATGCCTCCTGGCCTGCTTCTTTTAAAATAGATGAAACTCCCGTACTACATCTGTAAGAGTAGTTTCATGGCTAAATAAATTGGGTTTTATTGCTTGTTTGTTTCAGTACATGGAAACTCTCGCTGGCAGGAGCTGGCTTTTTAGGTGGTAACTTTTCAGAACCTATAAAACTGGCTTGTCTTTTGTCTCATTCAAGGCGCATCCACATAACAAAAGCAACCCTGAACTATCTCAATGGAGACTATGAGGTGGAGCTGGGCTTTGGAGGGGAACGCAACGCATATCTGAAAGAGCACAGTATTGAGACCTTCTTGATTGTACGGTGCAGCCAGAAACGGGTAAGACCAAACAAACTAATGCAGATTTAGAGACTTTTAATGACTGGATGGTCTCCAACACACTAGAGTGAACACCAGCCTTTATAGATGAGTGAGTTGACTACCTGATCTTCAGTGACAAAAATTCCATTTTTTTTTCCTCTTCCTGAACTTTTGCATGCATAAAATGGAATGTAACAACCTTCTGAATAAGGTTTCTGCACCAAGTACTTTCTGGTTCTATCAAACTGAGTTGTTTTCAAAATAATTTTGAAGAATGTTGTTATTATAGATATGTATTTTTTCAATTAAGTTTGATACTTGTACAAGTTCCTAAAGCAATAGATTAAAACCACAAAGATCTCTTCTCTGTCAGATTACAGACAGAGGTGTTTTTGTCTACCTGCTCACCTTATTGCCATGAACATAAAGATTAGAGCAGTTCTTATCATTACTTTCAGCTTCTGTTTCTGAAGATGGGAAAATCTGGCCCACTGTATTGATGAATGATCACTGTGACATGGGTGAGATGAGATCATACCTACTGCTATGACATGGGTTAGGCTGCACAAAATAAGGCTATTAGGGCATTACTGACTTGACCCGAGTCAAGTCAAACTCAAGTGGACTTCAGCCAATATACCTTCTTTTTGTGAGATTGCCAATAACAGAAAATAGATTGATGTTATCGCTAGTTTGTATTCTTTTAAATAATGATAGACTGTAATACTAAAAAAGGACCTTTTTGATTATCTAGTTGCGCCTAGCAAATAATACTTCTCTAGGTAATTTCTGCACTGTAGACACTACTTTACTACGCACAGTTCAGGCAAGCATATAAGGATTGGCCTGAATTGAAAATCATTTCAAATATTTCTGAATCTAAGACCAATTAAACCTTCCCACAGCTGTAAATATGGCTACCATGAGATTAAATGAAGTAGTGTTTGTGACATGTTCCAATAGCATGGGTGATTTGAATAACACCTATACAGAAATACATTGCTACCATTGCCTCATTTCCTGAGAGAATGGAAGCCTCAAATCTCCTTAATGGATATTGTGTAAAAAATCTCCAAGAAAATCCTTTATCATCTACTAAAGAGAGAAGCTGATGTTTTGGTTTCTATCTGCTCATAAGATAAATCTCATTAACAATTGTCACTCTTCAAAAGAGGATTAGAGCTTGCAGTGCAAGATTATTGTTTCCTGAGCATCACTGCCTGTCAGTGGGCCAGCTGATGTTTATACCGAAACCACTTCTTCTTTGCTGGGTAGATTTAAGAACATAAAGCAAACTACCTTTATGGTCAGGCCCCGTCTCCTGGAGTGGAGAGGATATATTGACTTCTTAAATCATGCATTTGCCAAGTTGTCTGCATGTTCTTGTGGAGAAATGAAGGTTTCTCTGGAGAGAAGAAGAAGACCTAAGATCAGGATTCTGCTCCTTGTAGGTCTAGAAAAAAATCTCAAAAACAGAGACACAGAGCACTTGGGACTTGACTTCATTTTTGAACGCAGAGCTGTCTTCTGACTAGGAGACTGGGCAGAGACTCAGGAGGGATGTGGATTCCATTCCAGACTTAGATTTTGAGGAACTTGCAACTTTTGTGCCTTGATTTTCCATGATAAAATAAAACAAGTCTCCCCTCTTGTTCTTTCACTGCTTTATATGTATTTATTGCAGCTCTGCTACGCTATGTAGCCCTTAGCTGAAGTCTCTAGGCACTACTGTAATACTGCTCTAACATGCTACATCCCAGAGTAGCTAAGAATTGGGGCATGCGCATAGCCTATGTAATTATTGTGCTAAATTGAAACATAAAGAAACTGCTACCCAAGGTAATGGATATTAGTGTTTAGAGTTTGAGGGGCTCCTGGTTTGCCCATACTGCTGCAACTTTCTTGCTCCTATAGCCATTTTCTGTCCCTTTGTGAATAGTTTAAAATTCTGTCCCTCTTTAAAAACTCATTTTCACATAATGTGAAGATCAGAGGTGAGAAAAACTTCTCCCATAGTTAGCTCAGTCAGTCTTGAATATTTTGCCTGATGCTAGCCAAAGTTCTGGCACTTCACTTTTTCCTTCCCTTTCTGTTTGATTTTAATGACTTCTTGTGATGTATTTAGCCAGGTTTTCAGTTCAGTCTGTTCCAGTAATGGCCATAAAATGTTCAACTAACTTAGTACTGGATTCCTGTGAGTTGTGTGTGGGTTCCTGCTGTGCTCACACACAAGGCACAGGATTTGTGTTGACCTGAGAGCAGATGCATAGTTGACCCAAGTAACTGTTTGCCTGAGCTATTCCTCAGTTCACACAGGCAGACTTGAATTATCTGAATACCTGGTCCATCAGTCCCATTGAAACTCAACAATACCAGGGATTATGATGAATGTATAAAATGTAACAACATCTGTTCCATACCCTTTCTGCTTAGTGTTGCCATGGGGTGCCATAATTTTGAATTTTCAGTCTTTTTTTGTTTATTTGACTTTTTCATCATGTTAACGCCATTTCTTTGGTACAGAGTAAATGGGAGGAACATTTACCTAATATTTTTGTTCCAGGAACTCAGACTAGCTCCTTCTGTGAAAATAGTTTGGGGTTTTTTTCCTTCTTAAAGATGCTGTTAATTGGAATATATTTAGTTGAATTTTAGGGGGAAGGAAAGCTAGATTCACTCAGTCTTTAAATAGATTCACTCAGTCTTTAAATAATATCACTAGAGCTGAAAATGAAGTCCTTGTCTTCTATCTGGTACACAGAAGATTTGTTTTCTATTGAAAGAGAGTAAACTGCAATGTTTAAAAATCCAGTCTGTTTTAAGTTTCCCTCTCCTCATATTTACCTCCAGATCCGCTTTCACCTTTCTATTTACCCTGTCCTGTGATGATGATGCTCTTGTGGGTGAGCACTTGCTTCTGAAGAAGATACCCTAGAACAGTGCAGGAGTGACTTTATTATTGCAGTGTTTATGTTCCCCTAGATAAAAGTTTTTGTGGTTTTTTTTTTTGAAAGCATAAATCCAAAGTTCCAAATTTGTGTTCCTTGTGTTTGCTTTCAATTCCTTAAGCTAGGGTTTTGCTAATCAAAATATAAAACAGTCCTAAGTGTGTGAGATACAAAGGGTGCCATGCATTTCATTGTGATGTGAACATCTATATTTATATCTATACATACATATACATATACGAGTGTGTATAGATATATATAAAAAGTAATTCTTGCCATAAAATTAGTAGGCTCCATTATAAAGATCTGTTGAATCTTTTGCTGTGGTTAGTTTGCCCCTGTTAGTGCTAACAGTGGGCTGCTCTAAAACCTGGTTGCTCTGGTTGTCTGGTGTCTGCTATCAGTCAGCAATTGTATCCCCTCTCTCCCTCTCAGCCTTTTTTCTCCTAAGACAACCTTCTAATGTAGTCTCACAATGAAGAAGAGACAAGCAGAAGCTTTCACAGTAAGCTCTTCATTTTCGTGATCGTCAAAGGAAACCTTTACCTTTTACATAGTTGCATTATCTTGGTGTCTGATATTTATTCTGTGATGAACTAAGATGATTCCTAAGTGAATGATCATGCATTTTGTTCACTTGAATGTCTCGGGTCCCATCTCTACTATGTCAGTCCTCAAATGTCGGGTGCTAATACTCCTTTTTTTCTTATCTATCAAATACTACCTCTGCTTCTCTCATTAGCAAAGTCTGTTATTGCTACACTTGGTGCCAGATGCGATAAGAAAAAAATTAAATAAAATCTACCCCGAGACTAATGATTCAGTAACTCTACTAGTAACTTTCATTCAGCCTAATACTTCCTCATTCAAAACCATTTCTTGCCATTTCACTGGAAACCAACTCTTTGCCCAGCTTTGTATTCCCCATCTCTCTTAGCCATTAGTCTCCAGCACAGCACTCTGTCAAATACTCTGTGGAAAAATCAAGGCCAGTGAGAGCTACTGTATTTTTTCTGTTTAGAAAAACTTGGATGCTGTCAAGTCTGTTAATCCAAGCCCAGCATTTGCTCTACAAGTTCTGTGTCATGATCCCTGACTAAATAGTTATTAAAAATATCTGTTACCTGAACTGAAATAGGAGTTGGCAGTTTTGCACAGATTTGGGATGGAGGTTGTCCTTCTGACTTCAGCACATCACACTTAAGTTTTGCTTCCAGCTTAGTCATGTTTTCCATTTATAATCCTATGCTTATGATTCCTCTCCCCTTTTGCCTGTACTGTGACAGTAATGATTATCTGAAGAGAAATAATCTATTTCCTCAGTTCTAGAGTAATGTAGATTTTTAAGTTTCTGTTATCCTTGCATGATATAGGGTGACCTACACAGGGTGACTTCTGTCCTTAATCCATATTTTTCTCATTCATTTGGATATGTTTTCTAATGGACTTAATAACTTAGCATGAAAGAAATACAGGAACTCTCCAAGGAGATCTTTGCCTTCACTTCCATTACTGGCTTTGCATCTTCATTCTTTATCTGAAAGTCTGTGTTTCCAGATAAACAGTGAATCATCAGCTAGAATTACTATTACCCAGATCTTTACTCATTCCCAAACTTAACCCAAGGCATTGTAATGCACTACCCAGCCTTACTCAGTACAATGTCTTTATCCTTCTACAGAGTGGTTTTGTTTTATTCTTGTTATAATTTTTTTAAGTTTACCCTGCAGACGGTAATGTTGCTAACACACAGCTCTGTACTTCCACCTCCACAACTTTTATATCTGTCCTTCTGCATTTTATTCAAAATGTCTGTCCCAGACATTACTGCTATCATATCACATCCCTGCTATTCTTACAGTACTCAGTTTATTGTTGTAGTATCCAGTAGTCCCAGTCCTTTTGCTGCCGAAGTTCTGGAGTTTGTACAGGAGCGAGTCACTTGGTTGCTGGCAACTTCCCCTCTTCTTTGAGATCAGGTACCGCACTAATTTGCAGACCCATCACAACTACTCTTCTCATCACTCCTAATCATTTATAAAAGCTTTACTCTGAGAAAGGTGGAAAAGT